GAGCAGGGAGCCCGATGCGGGACTCGATCCAGGGACTCCAGGATCATGACCTGAGCCGAAGGCAGTCGCTTAACCAACTGAGCCACCCAGGTGCCCCAGCATGCGACTCTTAATCTCAGGGTCATGAGTTCAAGCATTATGCTGGGCATGGAGCCTACTTAAAAAAAAAAACCAAAAAACCACCACCACCACAAAACCCACAAAGATTAAAGTGAGGGCAGTCTTGTTGGGAACAGGGCCTCTGACTTGCGGGGTCTGCATTAACTCTGGATGGTTAGTGTCAGAACTATATTGCAGTACACTAGTTGGTCTCAAAAGAGTGACCAAGTGAATGAGGAGAAAGTGATGATGAGTGATTTCTGAGACATAGATGGAGCTGTGACTTCTGCACTGTTCTCTTGGACTGCTTATTCTGGGAGAAGCCAGATGTTGTACATGAAGACATTCAAGCAGCCTTGGAAGAGGCCGACACTGGAAGGAACAAAGGCTTTCCACCACCAGCATGAATTTATCAGCCACGTGAAGGAGCCACCATGGAATTAGATAACTGCCACTCCAGCCAATCTTGACTGCAACCTTAGAAGAGAATCCAAGCCAGAAAGCCCCAGTGTTAAACTGCTCTGTAACTCCTGACCCATATAAACTGTACGAGGTAATACATGTTTACTGTTGTTTTAATCCACTAAATTTTGGATAATCTGTTATGCATCATTGAATAAGTAATATACTTTGCTTCCTCGAAGGACAGAAAGAATGATATATCATGGGAGTTAATTACTCCTTTCTTAAAAAATAAAAATTCGGGGGCACCTGGGTGGCTCAGTCGGTTAAGCATCTGCCTTTGGCTCAGGTCATGACCCCAGGGTCCTGGGATCTAGTCCCACGTTGGGCCCCCTGCTCAGCGGGGAGCCTTCTTCTCCCTCTCCCTTTGCCCCCTACTCATGCTTGCTCTCTCTCTCTAGTGCTTGCTCTCTCTCTCTCAAATAAATAAAATCTTAAAAATTTCTAGTCATTTTTGGTGTTCATTTTCTGTTGAAGCTTATTGTTCTACTTCTATCTAGCTATTTTTCAAGCTGCTTAAACAGTATCTGGAAGCATTAGCGACTATTACTCACTTGCCAAATCCTGAGTTCTGATTTTTGCTTTCTTCTCAAGATGAATATAAAAGCACCTGGAAGCCAAAGAAAATGTTCTTCCTGTGATAAGGAAAAATAAAAACAACATTATAGTAAGGATACAGCCCTCACTTGTGCTATATGCTTCTTTGTGCGGAACTATTCAAATGAACCAAGCTATTTTTAAAAACATCACGATGGGGCACCTGGATGGCTCTGTCATTTAAGTGTCCAACTCTTGGTTTCCACTCAGGTCATGATCTCATGGGTCTTGGGATCTAGCCCCAGGTAGGGCTCCAACCTCAGTCAGAGGTAGATGTGTGTGTGTGTGTCTCTGCTTGCAAGATTCTTTCCCTCTGCCCCTGCCCCCACCCGCGATCTCTCTGGCTCTCTCCCTCTCTAATATAATCTTTAAAAAAATCATTATCAAAAACTATTCAAAAGGAATAGTCAGAAAGAAGTTACTCTCTACCTGCACTGGCACTAATTTTATAAAGATATCAAAACTCTTGAATAAGTGGTTCTCAAGTTTTTATGGTACTTTCTTCCCACTAAGAACCTGATGATGCTGTGGTCCCTCTTCTCACAAAAGACCTTTGCTTTAATATAGATGACCACACCCCTCTGTTGTAAGGTAGGAATAATATTCTGTTCCTTTCCTCTGCCCTACATATCTTGTTTCTTCTTCTAGATGAAACTGAAAAAAATACTCCTGACAAAAGAGAAAGGTCTTATTTATAAGGCAGCTATTCTTTATGCATATTTCCAGCTTTGCTAAATCAAGGACCAGCAAAGAGCACACCAGAAATATTCATTCCTATTATGACATATCAGTGGAACTGCACCCAACTAACATGCCAATTCTAAATAGGCTTCACTAATTCAGAAACCTAGTAACAGGAAACTTTCCAAGAATTTAACTGAAACACCGAATCAGGGGTTATAAAAATCCAATTTATAAAAAGAAACCCCATATACAAGAACCGAATACAAATGACTTGACAGTATTATACTTGGCAACCCCACCACATTATACAAATTACGTTCTAATAATATTTCCCCAAACTCTTTCTCATTATCTCTATAAATGATAAATAAAAATTGTACACTGGCTCTTTTAATTCTGGAAAACAACAACGGTGAATTCTACCGGGACCTACAGTCAGTCGAAATTAAAGCACCATTAAGCAATTACCAAGTCATACAAGGACAAAGATGCTTACTCGGATCTTAAAAGTTTGAGGGGTGGGAGGGGGAAATGAATGAATAGGTAGCAAGAGAACGTGAATGATACAAATTAAAATCCCGGGGGGAGAACCTATTAAACCAAATCTCAAGGTCAACGGACCAGGGACACAAATTACTCAGGGCCCCAATAGGCCTCGATTGATACCGGAGACTCAGGCAAAACAGCGAACACGAAGCCGTGAGGTGAGGAATATAAATAAATCAATAAAATAAAGGTATTCTTTAAAAAATAAACCGTTGGACGACGCAGCGGCTGGCAGATACACACCCGCGTGGGTGCAATCACCGGGGAACAAGCCGAAAGCACAAAGGCAGCCAAAAAAGGCACTGAGAAGGACAGAGGTGGGTAGAAGACGAAGTGTTGGTGCGACACACCCCGCAAGGTTTGTACGGCCGCCCGAGGCTGCTCGAAAGGAAACCCGCGCCAGGCCGAGGCCCGCGCCCGCTGCAGGCAGGGCTCCGCGCGCTCCCGTTCCCCGGCCGGGCTGGGCCGCGCCACCTCCTGCTAGTTCCCCGTCGCCCGCCTTCTCGGCTTACCTCGCACCGACCAGGAGAAGCACTGGACACTCCGGGGGCCTTCCCGCCCCCGGCCCAACGGCCGGCTCCCACCCGCACGCCTCACTCCGCCATCTTCGCTCCTTCCCAAGTCCGCCAACCCTGCGGCAGCCGTTTCCACAAGCCCCGCCTCCGCTTCTGCCGCGGAGTCCTGACTGGTTAACGACTTGCGCAAGCGCATTGTCTTCCCGCTGTCGGCTGGTTGGAATGTACGTCTGTCAATAGTGCTGACCCCACTCTTTTCGATCTTTTTTTTGTGGGATTGGGTCCCAGGGTTGAGGTAACGGGGGAAAAACGTTTTTGTAATTCACTTGTTAGGAATGTAAAATTATTTCCCGTAGAACCTGTGTCACTTCGTGGAAAGGTAGTCTGGCTAGGCCGCATGACAGTTTTATAAGACACCGTTAGGTTCAACTATACTGCTGATAATTTCATTCTCGGACCGGGAGCTTTTAACCCCGGACATAATACCACACCTAGGCAGACAATTTAATAGCTCCAATTTGTATCTCATTCTCTCTGATTCGTTTCCATTCGTAAGGGGCCCAAACGTCAGACCGCTGTTTCCAGCTCTGGTCAATACAGGAGAGCAAATTCGTTTCTTTCGTTTAAGGATTCTTCTGGAAAATGTCAGACCGTTATAACTGACAATTTTGTTGCTTCCTACACTCAGCTGTAGGACTCCTGGGATCCTGTCTAAAGGGATTGTTTCAGGGGCGCCTGCGTGGCTCAGATGGTTAAGCGTCTGCCTTCGGCTCAGGTCATGATCCCGGGATCTTGGGATAGAGCCCCGCATCAGGCTCCCTGCTCAAGTGGGGAGCCTGCTTCTCCCTCTCCCTCTGCCGTTCTCTCCACTTGTGCTCTCTGGCTCTATCTGTCAAATAAATAAAATCTTTTAAAAAAAAATAAATAAAGGGATTGTTCCAGGAGAGGCAAGTAGAGTAATTAGAAATTGCCATTACACGGTGCCAATGGTGGCTCCCAGGTATGAGATGTAGGTCTTCAAACACCAGTAAGGCTCTCAGATGGGCTGCTTCCTAGAAATATGGATTCCTAATGCTGCACCTCCCTGGGATCCAATTCCCAAAGTCCTCGGATGAAGCTAAGGAGTTTTATTTTTACAGAAGCTAATGATAAAGGGCAACTAAGGGAAAACCTTCACTTAAAATGGGGGAGCCTGCCTTGCTCAGTCAGAAGAGCATACATACTACTCTTTATCTCAGGGTCGTGATTCAAGTCCCACTTTGGGCATGGAACCTACTTAAAAAAAAAAAAATCATACTTAATGGTGAGCCTTCATACTTTCCCTTTAAGGTCAGAAACCAAGCAAGGACACAGGCTCTCTTCACCTCTATTCAACATTGTCCTGGAGGGTGTAGTCAGTGCAAAAAGGCAAACAAAAGGCATCCAGATTGGAAGAAACAAAACTGCCTTTATTTGCAGGTGACGCGATCCTCTGTTGAAAATCATAAGGAGCACGCACAGAGCAAAAACAAAAGTACTGGAATTTCTATGTTTAGTGAGGCTGCAGAATACAAGATAAGTATACAAAAATCAACTATTTCTCTACACTAGTATAAAAAATGAAATTAACAACTGCATTCATAGTAGCATCAAAAAGAATAAAATACTTAGGAAAAAGTTTAATAAAACAAATCCAAGATTTATACACCAAAAATATAAAACATACTGAGAGAAATGAAGATCTAAAGTAAAGAGACTTTCCATGTTCATGGTTTGTTAGACTCAATATTAAGATGGCAATTCTCAAATTGATTAGAGTCAATGCAATACCTAACAAAATCCTAGCAGGTATGTGGTAGAAATTGACAAGCCGATCCTGAAATGTATAAGGAAATACAAAGGACACAGAAAAGCTAAGCCAATTTTGGGGAAAAAAAAAAAAAGTCTGAATTACACTACCCGATTCATAACTGACTACAAAGTTACAGTAATTGAGACAGTGTAGTATTCACGAGGATAGGCATATAGAATCAGCGAAACAGAATTGAGAGTCCAGAAACAAACCCTTACATTTAGGATCAATTTTTGACCAAGATGCCAAGATAATTAAATGGGAAAAGGATAGTGTCTTCAATCCAGGATATTGGCAGGGTCAACTGATATTTAGTTCAGTTATTAAAATATTAAAATACTTACACACTTCGCATTTCCCATTTCCCCAGACCCAAGGTTCCCTTCTCTGCCTCCTCTTATACTCAGGACCCCCCCGCCCATACTTACCCCCTATCCAGCAACTGAAGGGTTTACTGCCTAGCATAGCAGAGGCTCTATCTCTAGGACTCAGCTCCAGCCATACATTCTGATAGATCAGTGCAACACTAGCTAAAAATAACTTCCCATTATAGATGTTTTTCTTCCTAGGGCACAGGCAACTAGGAAAGAACCAAAAACAAAACCATAAAACAGTGTCAACTGGGATAATACAGACTGTTTCTCATTTATCTCTCATTTATTTCCTCCTCCTTAACAATCATGCCCTTCATGTTAAAAAAGTTTGCAGATGTACCTGTGTGTTCCTAAAAACAAAAACAAATACAAAACAAATACATGCACACACAAAAACAAAAAATAAAAAAATATTTTTTAAAGATTTTATTTATTTGTTTGTTTGACAGAGAGAGTGAGCGAGCACACAAGCAGGGGGAGCAACAGGCAGAGGGAGAGGGAGAAGCAGGCTCCCGCTGAGCAGACATGGGGCTCGATCCCAGGACCCTGAGATCATGACCTGAGCCGAAAGCAGACGCTGAACTGACTGAGCCACCCAGGCGCCCCCCAAAATAAAAATATACATTTTTAAGATTTTATTTATTTGACAGAGACACTGCAAGAGAGGGAACACAAGCAGGGGGAGCGGGAGAGGGAAAAGCAGGCTTCCCGCTGAGCAGGGAGCCCAATGTGGGGCTCGATCCCAGGACCCTGGGACCATGACCTGAGCCAAAGGCAGACGCTTAACGACTGAGCCACCCAGGCGCCCCTAAAAAATATTTTTGTAAAATAGTGTTATATATACAGGGAGAACCTGGTTATTATGTTATGAACCAATAGGCAGCAATTCTAGATCATCTAGGTAAACCTCTGTTGTAATTTAGGTATTCTGCAAGATTCCTGACAAAAATGGTCATTCAAGATTTTGCTTAAGCAATTCTAGCAACTAAGGGCTAGGGAATGCACTAGTTTTGGCAATATCCTGTTCCTCATTTGAATAATAAGAAATTCTTCCTTAGGAGTGCCTGGCTGGCTCAGTTGATGGGAGTATGAGATTCTTGGATCTTGGGGTTGTGAGTTTAAGCCCCACGTTGGAGAGAGAGATTACTTAAAACTTAAAAAAAAAATCAGTTTAATTAAAAAAAAATTCTGGGGTGCCTGGGTGGTTCAGTTGGTTAAGTGTCTGACTCTTGATTTCAACTCAGGTCATGATCTCACCATTGTGATATTGCATCCCACACTGGGCTCCACACTGGGTGTGGGGTCTGGCTTAAGATTCTCTCCCTCCCCCTCTGCCCCTACCCCCACCTTAAAACACACACACACACACACACACGCAAAATAAAACCTGTTTCTGAAGAGGCTGTCCTGGCTGGCTCATTGGTAGAGCATGTAACTCTTGATCTCGGGGGGGTTTTGGGTTCAAGCCCCATGTTGGGTGTAGAGATTACTTAAAAATAAAATCTTTAAAAAAAAAAGTAATAGTGTGTGTGTGTTTTTTAGGGAGTAAGATTTTCAGAATAAAACACTAAAAATCTGTTTAATGGTGCTTGATATCTATTATAGCAGCCAAGAGAACTTATTTGATTAATTCTTATTTCTGCAACCACATTCGGGTATAGGATATAACAATTCACCTACCTGGTTCAGTTCTTAAATAATTTAAGACTGCAAAGGGTGGTGGGAAGTGTCAAGACCATGTCTCCAAAGTCTTTCTAGTTTTGAGAAGAGGTCAGAATCTAGTGCTTAGAAGACTGAAGAGAATAGAGAAGAAAACTGAGTCTTGGCATCTCAAGACCAAATCCTTGATCAGCTTCTACCTCGGGTTAAGATGTCAGGTTAGTTGCTTACTCCATCTTAAAAGACATGAGGCTCCTCATTGCGATCTGCTCCATCCCAGAGCTCGGAAGAAACTGCCTGCAGTACCTCACAAACTTACAGGTAAATCTCCCATCACTCCTTGGTGTAGAGGAAAAGAATCTCTAAACTGAAGTTTCTACTAAGCTAGATGTTAAACAGATCACAGATCTGTATTAGAAAATACCAGCCATCTTTAGTTTGAATCGTTTGTTGACTCAAAGCTCAGTCAAAATGTGAATTTAGGGGCCCCTGGGTGGCTCAGATGGTTAAGTGTCTGCCTTCGGCTCAGGTCGTGATCCCAGGGTGCTGGGATCGAGTCCCACATAGGGATCCCTGCTCGTTGGGAGCCTGTTTCTCCCTCTGCCTCTCCCTCTCTCGCGTCTTTCATGAATAAATAAATAAAATCTTTTTTTAAAAAATGTGAATTTAGGGAATTTCAGTCCAGTAATGACTTCCTTCCAAGCAGTTCTGCTCTCAGTGTTTGGGAAACAGGATAAATACCTGATTTATAGTATAAGAAACCCAGTTTGTAAAGATAGTTCTCTCTGAGGCATCTCTGCAATGAATGTTTGCTCTAAATCCTAATCAACACAATCTATTCTAGTATTTTATTTTTAAAGATTTATTTATTTTAGAGAGAGAGCACAAGAGAGTGGGGGAGGGATAGAGGGATTGGGAGAGAGAGAATCTCAGACTCCCCACTGAGTGTGGAGACTGACACAGGATTTGATCTCACGACCCTAAGATCATGACCTGAGCCAAAATCAAGAGTGGGTTGCTTAACCGACTGAGCCACCCAGGTGCCCCATATTCTAGTATTTTAAATACAGAACTTGATAACATGATTCTAAAAGCAATTTGAAAAAAATAGATGACAGTAAAGACGATTCTGAAAAGAAGAATGAAGGTAAAAGAAAGTAATTCAATTACTTGTGGCAGTTTGGCATTCATTTCTTTGGAGACATATCAAAAGCTTTAAGTACAAGTCCAAACCTTGACCTAGTAATCCCACTCCTGTAAAATCTTTTCAAAGAAAAGAGCCATGTGGAGAAAGGTATTCATTGTATCATTGGAACAGATAAAATTGGAAACAATAAACAAGGTAATAATTAAATACTGTATCAAGTCTGTAAAATGTAACCATTAATATAAGCTAGGAAGAACAGGTAACATAGGGAAATAATACATTAATTTTTTTGTTATTTTTTTATTATGTTATGTTAGTCACCATACAGTACATCATTAGTTTTTTTTTTTTTTAAGATTTTATTTATTTATTT